TTTATGTTGGAAGCACCCTGAAAGTGCACAATCCTTTGTTTTCTGTTGGCAAATTGTTACGGAATAAATTAATGCAACGTTTTTATTGGTCAATACAATCAAAATGATAGGAATTCTTTTGAACGTTGTGCACTTTCAGGTCCACAAAAACATATAACAAAGGAGTCTGACGGGTTTCATAACCATTCCACTCAATTAACTATGATTTAAGCTAAGGTTAACATTTTAAAAAATCACTGATAAAAAAGCTTAATGGCTTTCTGAACTGCAGTCTTCACAAACTGCATGGGCCTCCATTTTTGACCATATTTACTTTTTCCGGATTTAATATGGACTGAGATACGTGGTACTAATATAGCAGAACAAACGCTCATTGTTAATCTGGATCTCAACTAGAACTTTGAACTAATGCGTGTGAAAGAATTTAATGACCGTAGAAGTAGTTTTTAATTCTTAGAAGAATCAAAGCCAATCTATAGAGACTGCAAACGGAAGCCCTTTTCCTGTGTCATGAGAAACCTCCTTTATTGCTTACTTGACAGTTCATTTTGTTTAATTTTGCCAATTACTCGTCCCCAATCGCTAAGGAACTTAAAGTAAACAAAGAAATTACATGGAAATGACAAAATCAGAGATTCGAGACAAACAGTTTTCAAAAACCCTAATTTCAATCCGTTTCAATCTTCTTTGGTTTTGCCCATCCGTGGAATCTGTTGTATCTTTTGTGTTATTTTAACCTTCCTTTAATGTTTTAAGTGGTTATTTTTATATTTCTCTTAATTTAACGGGCATTTTGTAATTACATAATTTGGCTGAATTTCGTGACACAGCTCCTTTAACGACTTATTGGCGTCTTTTGATCTGAAACAATGGGTAACGCCTACTCACGCCAGTGGACATACGTTGGATCTTATTATTACTAGAAATCAGTGTGGAGTTTTAGGAGACATTAGGGTTGTGGACCCTCTGATCTCTGATCATTGTACTATTTTTATGAGTTTGTTAGTGCATAAGCCTCATCTTCAAAGAAACACTATTCGCTATAGGAAGCTGCGCTCGATTGATTATGAAGAATGTAATATTACTCGTGGAAACTCTCCCTTATTTGATGAAGCTTGTACCGATCTTGATTCGATTTTTGATTTAAATCATTCTGTTTTGAAATCTACCCTTAATGCCTACGCTCCTGAAAAGAAGCATCTCGTAGTTCACCGTCCATGTGCGCCCTGGTACTCTGATGACTTTAGTGTACAAAAGAATATTAAGAGGAAGCTTGAACGCAAATGGCGATCTTCAAAATTACCTGCAGACAGAGAACGTTATGTTTTCCAGAACAATGTTGTTAACAACATGATTGTCTCAGCTAAGCAGGATTATTATTCAACCAAGATACAGGAGAACTCTGGGAACACTGGAATTCTTTTCAAGACAGTAAAGAAACTTCTAAACTCCAACCTCGCCCAACGTTTTCGATCTGGCACTGACAATTTGTCTGAATCATTCGTAGATTTCTTTGCCAACAAAATTGTCAGAATTCGCAATAATCTTGACACGTTTTCTCGAATTCCGAATGACAGCCCTGTAACACCCTGTAGTACTAAAACCGAGTCCTGTTTTACCTGTCTGTTTTTTAGTGAATTCAGGCTGGTTGATGAGGTACTGATCTCTGGTTATGTAAACAACCTGTGCACAAAGTCCAGTGCACTTGATCCTATTCCATCGTCTGTGTTTCAACGGTGTCAGCATCGACTAGTTCCGATAATAACTCGTATTGTCAATTTGACGCTTCAAAGTGGCCAAGTACCCGATAGATTCAAAGTTGGCGTGATTTAAGCCATTGTTAAAAAAGAGCGGAGCTGATAATGAGAACTTTTCAAATTTTCGGCCAGCATCGAATTTGTATTTTCTATGTAAAGTCAGGGAGAAAGCAGTTGCAGCACAATTATGTGATCACCTTAATGGTAACGAGGGTTTCCTTGAAGAATTTCAATCAGCGTATAAATGTTATCACAGTACTGAAACCGCACTTGTCAGAGTCCATAATGACATTTTGAAAGCCGTTGACGACAAAAAATCTGTTATTATACTATTGCTTGACTTATCGGCTGTATTTGATACTGTCGATCACACGATCTTGGTATCAAGACTGGCGAATCGTTTCGGCATTAGGGATACTGCTCTTAATTGGTTTCGTTCATATCTTTGGTTTCGTAAGCAGAGCTAAGCAGTTTGTTTCTGCTAATGGTATTGATTCGTCACTTAAAGATCTGCAATACGGAGTACTGCAAGGATCCGTGTTGGGTCCTTTGCTATGTTCACTTTACACAAGTCCATTGGGTGATATAGCCAGAAAGCATGGCATACCATTTCATCTGTATGCAGATGATACACAGCTATATCTCTTGTTTACGTCTAACTGCCCCAACCATACGTCCAACGCGAAGGAGACAGCTGAGCTGTGTGTTAAAGATATTGGCGACTAGATGCTGTGTAATAAACTTAAGCTGAATCAAGATAAGACGGAACTTTTAGTTGTTAGTTCAAGATATCGACCACGTCCTCCCCTCAACCACATCTAATTTGGAGATGATGTTATCGGTCCCTGTGAACATTCTAGGAGTCTAGGAGTCGGATTTGATTATTATCTCGATTTTAGAGAGCAGGTTAAAATGACCTGCAAGATCGCGTTTTTCCGCATTTGCGGTATTACCAAGATTAGGCGATGTTTATCCCATAACACTGCCAAGACAATTGTTCATGCTTACTTAACCTCGCGTTTAGATTACTGCAATGCCCTGTACTATGGTCTTCCAAAGCATCTGATTGATAGACTTCAACTTGGGCAGAATTCAGCAGCTAGCCTTGTTAGCGCGTCGAGAAAGCATGATCATATTACACCGATTCTTAGGCGTTTACACTGGCTCCCCGTGCACTATAGAAGTGTTCTTCAAATATTGTTACTGACTTATAAGGCTCTAAACGGTCAAGCACCTAGCTACATCTGTTGAAGTATAGGAACTCGGGCCGCGTTTTACGATCTTCAAACAAGCATTTGCTCGACGAGCCCGTGGCTAAATTAAAAACCTATGGTGATAGGGCATACTCTGTTGCTGCTCCAAAATTTTGGAATAAGTTACCATTGGACATCAAGCTATCATCGTCAGTTACTGTATTTAAAACTAAGCTTAAGACATGTCTGTTTACGAATTCTTTTGATTTATAATTTCTATTATTAGCCTGAATCCTATTGAATAATGTAGTTTGCCACGGACAATTGGTGGAGCATGCGCTACATAAAAACATTTTTATCTTTTATCTTTTATAACAATCGCTTATTTTCAAGCTGGATCTCAACTGAAAATCAGAAGCTTTGATCTTAAAAACGTGTGAAAACGTTTAATCAACTACAAAACACTTTTATTGTAAACTTATCAATTAAAGCAAATCTATAGAAACTTATCAGAAACCCCTCTTTAAGATCGGGCGTGTCGTAAGAAACCTCCTTGTTTCTCTTCTAAATTTCAGTGCAAAATCTACGCGAAGGAATGTACGAATATGCGCGTGTGAGGTCATCAGCGGCTTACAATTGGAATTCTTTGATATGTAACTGCTTCCGTTTTGGTTTTCGCTCCTAAAACTGGCGATTTCGGTGACAACGTTCGTGCAACTTGCCACGTTGCAAAACTATGAAAAATCTTAATTTCCGTTATGGGACATATCCTGCCGTCCAATTGTTACGAAAAGTAGAGCTCAGGGTTTCTACTTAATGCACTTTTTTTTGTCCAAATTTTTTTGGGGATGACGAGCTACACTTTTTTTTTTAGCTTGAAGAACGTATCTATAACACATATATCAGAGCTCCAATTAGTTTATCTTTCTTGAAAGGACAGATGTCCGGCTAAGTCACCATTTTGATCAGACGAAAGATCAATCAACAGATTGCGCGTCTTTAACGAAAACTGTGAACTGGAAAGGCGTGGGCAGATTATTTTGTTCATCCGCAAAATAGGGAAGAAAAGTGATGACGTCATAAAACTAAATTTGGGAAATTATGGCATAGGTTGGCATATCCAGAAAGAACAAGATGAGAAATGTTCACTTGCCAAAAATCAGCCTATGCTCCAATGACTGCATATAAATCTTTCTAAAAAAGGCCTGGGTCGTAAACGTTTCGATCCAAGCCAATTTTAGAAGAATTTGTTTGGAGTCAACAGAGCATAAAGGTGCTTATATCTCCCCGCCAATTTGCACAAGAAGGTTGATTTTAGGCAAGGGTTTTTTTCATCTTGTTCTTTCTAAATATGCTATCCAATCTCATAATGTCACAAATTTGAATTTTTGTGACGCCACATTTCCCTTCTCTACGGTAGTCTTTGATATTTGAGGTATGGGCCAGTTTTAGTTAGATATTGTCCGATGACGGACACCGACTTTTATTTGTAGCCCTGTATACAGCTGCAAGAGGAAAGCACTAAAAGGTAAAATCCTCCCCAAGGAAACTACATTATGGAACATGTATGCAAGTCAAAATGGGAGAGGGGACCTTGTGGTCGCGTGAAGAACTTATTTTGGGAGGTCACAAACAGATAACCTTTAATAGTTTTTAACTCGAGACTTGAAAACGGCAGGGCAAGCCTTCCTATTAGATGCAGCTTCGAAACGTCTTTTAAGAGTTAAAACACCCTCAAAATGAAACCTAGAGCAAATTTATAAGGCGGAATTGAGTTACATTAATCGTGAAAAAGTGGTAAGTGTGAGATATTTGGCTATGCTTTTGCGTCACCACCTTGTTCATTTTCGCGCGAACGATTGTCAAGCACA